GTGGGGATACCTCCTGGATGCTAAAAACATCGACCTTTCCAACGCTGCAGCTGCACTACCCTAAAGTCAACCATGAAAGGTTGAATTTGCCATTACTCCTCATGAAAAGCAAGAGCAATGAAATCGACTTTAACAGCCCTTAAAGTCAATGTAACAGGCTTGGGGGTGCAGACTCATAGTTTAGAAAATTGACCTAATGAAGCAGGCTTTATCCCCAAAAGCTCATGATATAGTTTTTACTCTATAATGTGCCACAGGACTGCAAATTGTTTTTAAAGTTACAGACTAACACAGCTATCCTTCTGAGACCTAATGCTCTTAAGTTTGACCTAAACGCCCAGTATAGACCAGGCCTAACCATTCACCACCTGCCACACAGAAAATTAGGTCCACCTCCAAACAGAATCTGCACCGGCGGTCAGAGGAATACCAATTTTATTCTAATTTAGTAGTCAATAGATGGGGGATGGAGGTTTCCTAACACAGGACAGGACATGAAAAAGGTCTGGTTATGAGACACATTTGCTTGTCTCTACAATAATTGTTTCTAAATTCCTGACTGTTCATGATGATTGATCTGTAAGTTGCTTTGTCTCCATACCATTTATAATGTCCAATTTCACATAGACAAGCTATTCCTCAGTGTGCCAAACAAAGGAGAATACAATAAATATATTGTCAGTACAATGAAAATAAATTAATTTTGTTGGGTTTCAATAGGAATTATTCTCGTTAACTGAGAAATATTTTTATCACCACCTTTCTTTAAAAGAGTGTATGATCTATACCAAATTTGTATGTGCTGGCACAGAAGTTATTCACCATCATCCCACATTAACATATTGCCTGACATAATAGAGTTATTTGCCTTATGCCTCACAGTCCCATTTTGAAGTAATATTCATGCCCTGTCAATTTAGACATAAAGAAGTTTTAAAATGTAAAGACAAAGACATTTTCCCTCCTAACGCCACTAAATATGTCTTAGTGTGCTGAAATTAACTCATTAATATTTTAGACACAGCTATGGGGAATTCCAATACTTTACCTTCATCTTCATCATTAGCACTGACTGTAATGACAGTAGAACCCACATCCTGATCTTCATCCACATTAACTTCATAGACACTCTGAGTGAAGACAGGCTTGTTATCATTCACATCGCTGATAAAAATGTGCACGTAGGCTGTGTCTAGAGAGACAAGAAACAAGAGATTAAAATACTCAGCTGTGCCACTTCTGTCAGCTACAATTCCTTAAACTGTCTAGCTGCACATTAAATGAAGACGAATATGCAGACAATACAGAAACAAACCCTTAGGGTTATGGACAATTTATATACCAACATTACTCAAAAGCACTTGGATATCAAATGAATGTCACATCCAATTTGTTTAAGCAGATAACATGTGAATAATTGATGCCTAATATTGCAATTGTACAGTTTTAAGTCATAACTTTTTGTCCTGAAGCCACAAAAGCCCAGTTTTAACTCTTTGTTTAAATACAACCAATATGATTTTTTTCTTTTCTATTCAGCATTTAATTACTGCCCCAAACTGAGTACAGAACAATATGCAAGGTTTGGAGACTCCCTTCCATTACCCACACTAGACTTGCTTCCTGTGTTAAAGTAGTAGGTGTGATTTTGGTCATTAGGAATTACTCCCTAAAATCCATCAACTATACCATAAGATGATAGTTTTCTTTTTGTTTCAGAACTGAAAACTTCCCTTGTAATCATATTAAATATTTATTTCACATCTGAGACAAGTGACCCAGAGAGAAACAGCAAATAGATACATAAATAAATAATCCTATTTTACCAGTAAGAAACATAAGAACAGCCATACTGAGTCAGACCAAGGTCTAGCTAGCCGAATATCCTGTCTTCCGACAGTGGCCAATTCCAAGTACCCCAAAGGGAATTAACAGAACAGGCAATCATCGAGTGATCCATCCCATGTCCCAGTCCCAGCTTCTGACAAACAAAGGCTAGAGACACCATTTCTGCCCATCCTGGCTAATAGCCATTGATGGACCTTCATGAGTTTATCTATCTCTGTTTTGAACCCTGTTAAAGACCTGGTCTTCAAAATATCCTCTGGCAAAAAGTTCCACAGGTTGACTGTGTGTTGTGTGAAAAAATACTTCCTTTTACTTGTTCTAAACCTGCCACCTATTAATTTAATTTGTTGATCCATAGTTCTTATGTTATGGGATCAAGTAAATAACTTTTATCTCTTTTCTAAAATGAAAAGTGCCAGTCTATTAATCTCTCCTCAAATGGCAGCTGTTCCATACCCTTAATCATTTTTGTTGCCCTTTTTCTGAATTTTTTCCAGTGCCAAGATATCTTCTTAGAGATGAGGTGACCACGTCTGATGCAATATTAAAGATGTGTATACTATGGATTTATATAGAGACAATAAGATATTCTCTGTCTTATTCTCTGTCACTGTTTTAATGATTCCTAACATTCTATTTGCTTTTTTGATTGCCGCTGCATCCTGAGTGGATGTTTTCAGAGAACCATCCACAGTTACGTCAAGATCTCTCTCAAGTGGTAATAGCTAATTTAGTCCCCATCATTTTATACATATAATTGGGATTATGTATTCCAATATGAATTACTTTGCATTTATCAACATTAAAGTTCATTTGCCATTTTGTTGCCCAGTCCCTCAGTTTTGTGAGATCCTTTTGAAGTTCTTCACAGTCTGCTTTGAACTTAACTATCTTGAGCATTTTTGTATCATCTGCAAATTTTGCCACCTCACTGTTTACTCCTTTCTCCAAATCATTTATGAATATGTTGAATAGGATTGGTCCCAGTAAAGACCTCTGCAGGACACCATTAGTTACCTTTCTCCATTCTGAAAACTGACCATTAATTTCTAGCCTTTGGTTCCTATCTTTTAACCAATCCATGAGAGGACCTTCCCTCATATCCCATGATAGCTTACTTCGCTTACAAGCCTTTGATGAGGGACCTTGTAAAATATTTTCTGGAAATCTAAGCAAACTAGTATCCACTGGATCCCCATTGTCCACATGCTCATAGACTCATAGACTTTAAGGTCAGAAGGGACCATTATGATCATCTAGTCTGACCCCCTGCACAGTGCAGGCCACAGAATCTCGCCCACCCCTCTTAGAATAATCCTCTCACCTATGTCTCAGATATTGAAGCCTTCCAATACTTTGAAGGCCCCAACATGCAGAGAGTCCTTCAGCTGTGATCTGTGCCCAATACTACAGAGGAAGGCGAAAAACCTCCAGGGCCTCTGCCAATCTACCCTGGAGGAAAATTCCTTCCTGACCCCAAATATGGCGATCAGCTAAACCCTGAGCATGTGGGCAAGACTCACCAGCCAGACACCCAGAAAGTTCCCTATAGCAACTCCTATCATCCCTCCATTGACCTATTTCCAACTGCTTGTTGACTCCCTCAAAGAATTCCAGTAGATTCGTATGGCATGATTTTCCTTTATAGAAATCATGTTGACTTTTCCCTAACAAATTATGTTCATCTATGTGTCTGAGAATTCTGTTCTTAACTATAGTTTCAAACAATTTGCCTGATACTGAGCTTAGACTTACCAGTCTGTAATTGCCAGGATCATCTTTAGCGCCCTTTTTAAAAATTGGCATCACATTAGTTATCCTCCAATCTTTAGGAAGAGAAGATGATTTAAAGGATAGGCTACAAAGCACAGTTAGTAGTTCTGCAATTTCACATCTTAGTTCTTTCAAAACTCTTGTATGAATGCCATCTGGTCCAGGAGCCATGTTACTGTTTAGTTGATCAATTTGCCCCAAAACCTCCACTAATGACACCTAAATCTGAGAAAGTTTCTTGTATTTGTGACCTAAATAAAAAGCGCAGGGTTGGGAATCTTTCTCATATCCTCAGCCACTATGCAATGACCTTATCATCTCTGGTGTCAAGTATCAGAGGGGTAGCCGTGTTAGTCTGAATCTGCAAAAGCGATGAGGAGTCCTGTGGCACCTTATAGACTAACTGAAGTGTAGGAGCATAAGCTTTCGTGGGCAAAGACCCACTTCGTCAGATGCATGTACATGCATCTGACGAAGTGGGTCTTTGCCCACGAAAGCTTATGCTCCAACACTTCAGTTAGTCTATAAGGTAAGCTTATGCTCCTACACTTCAGTTAGTCTATAAGGTGCCACAGGACTCCTCATCGCTTATCATCTCTGAGTGCTACTTTAGCATCTTAATCATCCAGTGGCCCCACTAGTTGCTTAGCAGACTTTCTGCTTCTGATGTATTTACAAAAAACGTTGCTATTATTTTTTGAATTTTTGGCTAGCTGTTTGTCAAATTTCTTCTATGCACACCCCAAACACAAACACACACTATAGATAACCACTTGCCCCACAGTTCACATAAGTGAGCATGAAAAACAATAAATTATAATTAAAAATTTGACTAAAGAGTTTTCTATTACAGGCAGAGAGCTAAAAAAAAATCAAACTTGATACACCGGTCCATTTCTTACCAGAGTTTGGCTGCCCATGTTTTCCAGGTCGAGCAGATTCAGAGCCATCTATTGATTTTACTTCCAAGAGATATGACCCCTTTTTCTCTCTATCAAATACAGAAGTACTGTATATGGAGCCTGTCTGTGAGTCCAAGCGAAAACATGTATAGTCCCCACTACGATCATGTAACAGAAAGTAAGTGATCTGAAAAGTTAAAAGTAAGATGGTTATGCCATACTTACATTCTTTTTGATAGTTTACAGGTAAACAATTACTGAAGAAAGAACAAATGTTCTCGTAGATAAAGCACTGTGACAGGACTCAAGAGATCTGGGTACAATTCCAAATTCTGTATCAAATTCCATGTGTAATCATCAGCAAGTCACTTAACTCCCTTGTGTCCATAAGTAAAATGGAGATAATCATACTTATCTTCTCCAAACCTATCTAGACTGGAAGATCTCTTCTGCAAATTTATAAAGAGCTTAGTACAATGAGCCCCAATCTCAGCTGGAGCCTCTATGATACTGTAACACAAATAAATAAACAAACAAACAAATAAATAAATAAAATCAAAAGCAAATTTGAACTTTAAGAATATATTAAAAATTATGGGCCAAATTCTGATATTCGTTATACATATGGGTAGGTCTGACTGACTGGTGTACACCCAAGGACAACATTTGTCTGTAAGTACAAGCCAAGATTTTCAAAAGTGAATACTGATTTTTGGATGCATCATTTCTTGGATGCTGAATATGAGACACTATAGAGGTGCCTGATTTTCACAGAGAAAACATTCTGAACTTTGTGAAAATCAGGCATCTTACACTGGGCACATAAAAATCAAGGGGGGCCAAAATTATTAAGGACTTTTAAAAATCTTTGCTGTCGACAGCTTTCTTAATCCCTGATAGGAAGAAAAAGGCTGTTCTGAGAGTTGTGGTATAATCTAAGACTCTTCAACTCTTTGCTTACCTTGCCATTCTGACCCAGGTCTAGGTCAGTGGCAGAGACTTGAAGAACAAAAGTCCCAATATCAGCTCCCTCTTTTACTGATGCTTCATATACTGACGAAGTAAAGAAAGGGACATTATCGTTGACATCTAAAATATTCAAAAAGAAGAACTCATTATATATAATAAAATGAAAGTGAGAATCATAAAAAATGTAATGAGTCTTTTGGCTCAAGTACTACAGTGTCATTACCATGTTACATACCTGTTATATTAACATAGACAGTAGTGAATGCTGCCAGAGGCACTGCAGCAACATTCTGTGCCCGAACCTTCAGCACAAAGCTCTTTGTTGTTTCATAATCTAATGGCTCAGCTACTAGGATTGAAGCAGAACCATCCTCTCTGTTCGGAGTCAGATAGAAACGAATTGGCATGTTGGTCTCTGGAACAAGCCCATCTTCTAGATTATAGGTCACACGAGGATCACCCAGTGGCGAAGTTGCTTTAATTGTCTGTACAGTTGAAAATGTTCAAATAATCAATTTTGTAGGAACAGAATTTTTTAAATACAAGGTACTTATGTGTATCCCTCCCCCAAAATTCTTCAAAACTTTGTAAAAATCTAATCGTGTTAAATGTGTATCTGAATTATCAGTAAGGTCAGGTTCAATCAGAGATTACCAGTCACCACAGGTTATGAGATAGACCATATAGCAAGTGTGAAAAATCATGTGCCCGTATAAGAAAAAGCCCTGAACAACAGGAACTATTTCTATAAAATCAGGACATCTGGTCACTTAGTATATAAACATATTTTACAATTATTTGAGAAAGTTGTGTAAGTTTCTGGTTCTGTGCAATCAAACAGAACAAGTTTGTCAATATAATATATATTGTAGGCCCTATAATTCTATTAGATAAGATCACAAAATTTAAAAAAAGCAATTAAGAAAGTAATGATGAGACAGAGTCCTATATTTCAGGAAACACTTAAATAGAACTTTTTAATTACAAATACTAAGCTAAATTCTGTTGTAATATCCGTCTAAAGCTACTGAAGTCAAGTGGAGATTGCATAGACATAAATGAGAACAAGGACTGGACCATTATTTTAAACCTTCTTAGAAAGGAAAATGACAGCAGATCAGTAGACATGTCACTCTTTAATTGTCTAAAAAGTATTAACAATTTTTAACCAAAGAGGCATTTCCAGGCATTGCACAATCTATAAAAAACAACTTACGACAATGGATGTATCACGTGTGGTATTCTCTGGAATGACAACTTCATAAATATCTCTTTCCCACTGTGGGGGCTGATTTTTTGCATTAGTAATTGTTACCGCTAGTTCAACCTTACTGCTCCTGTTTCCTCCATCTGTGGCAATAACCTCTTGACTTATAAATGACCTCTGAGTAAAACAAATAAGTTATTGCATTACTATTGATATTTACTACTGAGTAGGACATAGACATCTTGCCAGGTATATGTGGATTGAACAGTCAAAATATCTAGGGACAAACTATGGCTTTTCTAGCATAGGTATGCTTTGCATCATAGGAGCCTTCCCCATCTCAGTTCACTAATCCTCGGACAGCTCAAATTTGAATGCAGACACTGGGGAGTGAGGATGGTCCATTAGCCCACCTGGCAGCAATCATGGCTCCAGACGGGGCATCTATAAGTGAGGTGATGTTAGAACCAAAGCATTGAACTGCCTATATGCCACCAGATCAGAAATGCCACTCAGGTGCTGGCCCTCTTCCCCACTGCTCAGAGCACTACTGCCTGAGAAGAGGGATAATTTGGCCCACCCCACAGAATGCATACTAAATCAAGATACAATAAGCACATTCATATATTTTGGCAGTACCTTGTCAAGAAAGTAATGCACAAAGGACAACAATGGTTTAATTAATCTAATGATTTAATTAATCCCCAAAGTATGTTAGAAAAAGCTCAGCCATGTAATTCCAAGTTTCTGACATTCAAGATACAATTACTTTTTTTCCCCAAAAGAAGCCTAAATGTTAGCAGGGAAAAAAAGGTTCTCCTTTAATGTGCATTTCACAGTGGTGTAAATTCAGCTCCCACTCAGACACGGGATTCAGATGCAAGGAGGGGAGTAAGTACTGCTATTTGCCTCAGCTATTTTCAAACTTGTGCACCTAAAGCTAGAAATCTAAACCCACTTTTCTTTTACTTCAATGGGAATTAGGATTGTTTTGTTTGGGAGCTTGAACGTGAGTTCAAGTTCTAAATTTTAGGCACCCAGTTTGAAAATTTGTCTCTAGCGCTTTTATCTTTCAGGTGGCATATTCGTGAGGGACAGCTGAGTATGTAGCACAGAGTGTATAAGGCACATAACATTAGAGTGGAGTGGGAAACCTTTTTTGGGTCAGGGGCTGCTGACTCTCAGAAAAATGTGTTGGCGGCCACAAAAAAACACCTTCACTGACATGGTCCATGACTGAGAAGGAGAAAGACACTCCCCACATTCCCCTCTCACACCAGAGCCTGGGGGGGGGGAGGGGGCAGCCTAGTAAATTTTGTGTGCTCAAGCCCCACATGGGGCAGTGGAAAGGCTGGAGCACCAGTGCAGGCTCCCCAATGATGTGGGGAGCCCTAGGACTTGGGAGCCAGATCCAGGCAAGCTGGGGGCCTGAGATTCCCCACCCTTGCAGTAAAGGGTTCACAATAGCAACAAAAAAACTTCAGACCCCTTGTATGCACGTTCAAGGAAGAAGAACAGCACAGGGGCCTCTCCTCCAAATGTGTAGCTTCATATAGAAGACAAATAAAATTTTATAGTTACTATTCTCTAAATTTGGAGGGTCAGGATGGATCTGGGGACATTGCCTTGACTCAGTCAAATCCCAACAGTCTGCAAAGACTGGTCAGGCTCGGAGCGCAGTGCACACTCTACCTGAGATATGGGTTGGTTGACATACACCCAGCCTGTACTAGGATTCACTTGGAAATATGCTGATTCTTCATTTGCTATGGAGAATGTTACCGCAGCATTTGAACCATAATCATCATCATGGGCTACAACACGAAGAAAACTAGTCCCAACTTTTGTGTCTTCTCTCAGGAAATCTGACAGAAGGAAAGCAGATTTCAAACTAACCCTTTACACACTGGAGCAATATGAGCAATTCTTTAAGAAACATTAAAAAGTACTTAAGAAAAAAAAACAAATGAAAGTTACACTTTATCCACTTTTGTAGCTATACCATAGGAATCAAATTAGGTGTTCTGAACAGCTAATATTGATTGTCAGGAAGCATGGGAGTTCCAAGGGCCAACTAATTTTATCTTAAAATTACCAAAAAGAAATCAAATTATCAAAATTGATCATGGAAAAAAACAAGTAACTACATGGAATTGATAACTAATTTTTTCTCATGCAACCAGGTAAGAGAACACCAAATCAAAAGATAGTATTATTGACGATTGCTATTTATGTTGTTTCCTCCAATTATCAACGTTGATAATTTGGGTTGTTTTCTTTTAATAATTTTAAAAATACATGGCAATGAGAATATCTTGGCTTTCCCACAAAAAGGAAGAGCTGAGGATTACATTTTAATTTGTGCTACTAAATATGGCTGGAACATTATTTTTGTGAGATGATCAGTCAATTTTCTTTAAAACCTTCCTAAACTTTTTTTGTTGATTGAATACATACTGGCTACGTCTACACTGGCCCCTTCTCCGGAAGAGGCATGCTAATTTAGAACTTTGGAATAGGGAAATCCACGGGGGATTTAAATATCCTCCGCGGGATTTAAATAAACATGGCCGCCGCTTTTTTTCCAGCTTGGGGAAAAGCCGGAAAAAAGCATCTAGACTGGCGTGATCCTCCGGAATAAAGCCCTTTTCCGGAGGATCACTTATTCCTACTTGCAAGTCATTAAAAATATGCAAGTAGGAATAAGAGATCCTCCGGAAAAGGGCTTTATTCCGGAGGATCACGCCAGTCTAGATGCTTTTTTCCGGCTTTTCCCCAAGCTGGAAAAAAAGCGGCGGCCATGTTTATTTAAATCCCGCGGGGGATATTTAAATCCCCCGTGGATTTCCCTATTCCAAAGTTCTAAATTAGCATGCCTCTTCCAGAGAAGGGGCCAGTGTAGATGTAGCCACTATGTATGAATGAATGATACTGTACACGTATTTAAATGGTATTGTAATTGTCTGTATGATATCAGAAATAAACATGGTGGACTAAATTTTCAAAGGTGATTTCCTAAATTTCCAAATAAAAACTTCATTTGAATTGTCAGTCAGGAAGAAAGACAATTAATACAAAACGGTGTGAAAACAAGAGGAGCTGCAAAACTTAAAATCCATGAAAATCCAGAGTTGAGTCTGAAACCTGTTGTGCCTTTATTTTACAGCATAAACAGGACTCTCCAGTCTTTCAGGAAAGTGCCTCATAATTTCCATTAATTTTTATGAGCGCTATATATGCTAGGTGGTGAGAAAAGATTCCAATAATATAGTACTGTGATAAAATAAAAAACTGTTTGAAAAACCTGCAATGCTCAGCGCACTGTGGGGTATCAGAGATATAGTTTCAGAGATAAGTAAAATATCTATGCTTTGTGAATGTAATTAAGTATTTCATATCTAATAATTATACAATGCTTAAATCTGATAGACTGAAGCATTATGATATAATTATGTCTTTAGATGGTTTTAACAATATATTATTTATTCAATAGACCACAACATTATGATCTATTCATTCAATAGACTAAAATAAAAGCAATATGTGGAGATCTTCTCCATAGTTCCATAGAATCTCCTTTATGGACTGACAATTATGCATGCATAATTACATAGAATTTTACTTTGTGTTTTGTTAATTCTCATGCCAATCTGCAGTATGTATTTTATTCTAAAATGGATATGTCTTTTTAAAGACGTTATTGAAAATGTTTCTGCATATATACAGGAGCCAGTTTTCAAACTGAAATTGACAATATCTTTAATGACTAATTAGCTTCCCAAAAACTTAATTTTTTTAATAATAAATTTAGAACCATGAACAAAACTAACAACAAAAAAATTAAAAAACCAAAGGAAACTTAAATGGATGAAACTCAAATGTTAAAAATGAAGCATGCAACCAAAACATGTTAAGTGGAAAAGAACATGAAGTAATAGTAAGGTCTGACCTTACACTTAGGCTATGTCTAGACTACATAGCTCCGTTGACGGAGCCATGTAAAATGGTTTATTTGGCATAGGCAAAGAAATGGGGATTTAAATAATCCCTACTTCATTAAAATAAAAATGGCTGCTGTGCTGTGCCGATGATCAGCTGATCCATTACAGCAGGGCAGTCTAGATGCGATGCGGTCAACAAGGGAAGCCTTTGTCGACTGCTCCGGTATGCCTCGTGAATTATCACCCCTAATGTCATTACTTCCCAGATACTACACTAACCTTCCCCCCTCACCCCTCCTCTGTTCTTAAATCTGATTCATCAATTTTATATGTGTTCACTTTTTTTTATTGTATCACTTTGGTATATATGGTCGTGCCAATTTTCTTCCACATATTGATCTGAGGAAGTGGGTCTGTCCCATGAAAGCTCATCACCTAATAAACCATCTTGTTAGTCTTTAAAGTGCTGCATAGTCCTGTCTTTTGTTTCAGTTAGACCAGACTAACACGGCTGCATCTCTATTCTTACTCAGGACTGTGTCTAACTACCATGCGCACGATATAATACTAAATGCACCAGTCTGACTATAGCAATGCCCCACCGCTATATATCTTGGACAGACTGGACAGTCCCTATGGGAAAGAATCAATGGACACAAATCAGATATCCATAAAGGGAACATACAGAAACCTGTTGGGGAAGACTTTAATCTACCTAATCACTCTTCAAAAGATCTCGAGGTGGCTGTCTTGTCACAAACCAGTTCTACTAATCAAATACACAAGGTGGTATTGGAATTACAATTTATCCACAAATTCAGTTCTCACTCTGATCATCATCTCCTCAATCGGGACAATGGAGGGCTGGAACATTACCAACCCAACATTCAATGAAGGTGCCAACAGCTCTCTGTGTGGATTTTTGTGTTAGTTCCCTTTGATCCTTATCTGCTTTCTTTTAACTATCCAGCTCTGCCTACTTGTTTTTCCCTTTGATATTTTCATTCCCTCTGTCTTTGTTTCCCGTCCCCTTCTCTTTTTCCTTCCCCCCTTTCCCTTCTCCCCTATTTATTTTGGCCCTGCACATCCTAAACTCATAACTCCGGTCATCTGAAGAAGCGGGCTGTGCCCATGAAAGCTCATGATACCATCTACAAGTTTTGTTAGTCTGTAAAGTACTACCAGACCTTTCGTTGTTTTTTAAGTTTATCCTGTGCAGACTAACTCCTGTATAGACTACCCCCTGAAGCTACAGTTACATAGTAATTTTGCAAATTAGGTCAGGGGAGGAGTGGGGAAACCAAACCAAAAATCTTAGACATCAGGTAAGCTCACACTCAGAGTACTGAAACTCTATCCAATGACTCTCAATTACATTCATAGTGGGTGTTTTCAAATCTGGGATCATTGTCATTTTGGTCCAGGATGACAACGTTTATCTGACAGATCCCAATGAGAGGTTCTGCAGCTTGGTCTGTTGCAGTCACAGTAATAGGATATTCCCTTTGGTTTTCTCGATCAAATCTCTGAACAGTTGTCAAGACCCCTGAAAACAAATTATAAAGAGTTTTAATGTTATGTAGTTCACTAAAGACATTGTTTTCTTTGAAACCATTTTGGAACTCTTTTTTTTCTTTTTGACTGTCAAGTAGTAGAAAAGAACATATTGAACTGCAATGTAATGGGTTATCATCAGTGATGCGAACAGTGGTGCAAATTGCACATTGAATTACAGACACCAATCCTGCAAAGTCTTAAGAACTTCAGGAGCACTACTCTCTACCTAGGTTGTGCAGAAAGAATCCAATTTTTAAACATTTGCAGAATCTGACATATTTGGTATATTTTGCACCACTGGAATTGTAAATTGGATTTACATGCTGGAAAATTTGAATTTGCAAGATATGTTTTCTGACAGGTTTGGGGGGGGGGTTATTTCTAAAATTTCTTTGTTCTTTGAAAAAGAATTTTGAAATCGTCCTTCAGATATGTCATTCATATTTTATACATTGATCTTCAGATAATGCACATTTTTTATTTATGGATTAAAAATAAACATAAATCACACAGAAGAACTTCTATATTTTGAAGAAAACATAAATCCTAGTTAAGTTCAGAATAGCTATGGAAGTAAAAGTAGAGGGAGATTTTTTTCATACTATATTTATATTTTATTTTGATATCTCAATTACTTGAGTCTCAAGTTATTTAAACCAGTATTGTACCAGTATAACTATAACTGATTTAAACAGAATTACTCTTGATTTATCAGACTGTAGGTCCCAGGGTTCTGGGATTTGTTTTACCTGTATCAGGATGAATACTAAATGCTGGTAAGGCACCATCTCTGTGCATCATGCCATATTTCACTCTACCATTAGTTCCTTCATCAGCATCAGTTGCCTCAACCTGCAGTACAAATGTCCCTGAAGGCTGGTTCTCCAACACAGAAGCCTGTCCCCGATAATACTGACACTAGGGAAAATACATAAACATTTTCCATGCCATTTTACTGAAATTAACATAAAAAAACTATTCAGCCATTCTGGAATATGCACATATTTATTATTCCTGAACATATCTTGAATAATACAGAACTTCCATTTTTCCTTTGTGATTTTACCTTGTGAAATATAGGTTTGTTATTGTTGACGTCATCAATTCCCACAATGACCAGTGAGGTACTAGTGAGAGAGTGAGGCCCACCAGAGGCATTATCATCAGTGGCTGTGACATTCAGTATGTATTCCGTCCCCTGAAGCTTAGGAAGAGGGCTCGAGCGAAGTCGAATTAATCCTAAAAAATCAGTGACAAGAGGTTTTGTTTGTCTTTCTTGTCTTTCACTTTTTGATAATTATTATTTCCCCCCTCCTCTAGCAACCACCAACTATGCCTGGTTTACATACAAAGTTGCACAGATTTTAAACCAATTTAGTTAAACAGGTGCAACTAAAAGTACACACATTCTTAATCTAATTTAATATCCATGCAAGGGGCATGAGCCAAACCCATTGACATCAACAGAAAGACTCTCGTTGACTTAAATGGATTTGTACCACCAGAGGTGGAGTGAGGTGTTATTCCAATTTAACTAAATTGATTTCAAAACTGTAATTTTAAACTTAAGCTGAAATTGCAAGTCTCCAAACTTCGGCTAAATTCACTGTGCCTTTTTTCCCCAACTAGAGTGAAATTATTTCTTACAGTGTAACCCAATAGTATAAGTGAGCTTCCAAATTCAGATTCCCCAGTTAATAACAGAATAACCTACTCCTGTGTCTAAAGCTGCCTGCAAATACCCACTGAGTAGGTCTACCTTAATTTTGCAGTCAGGTAACAGTAGTACCGTAGGGTACATCCAGCCCAGGTAGTTAGGCCAGGCGCTAAGTAGATGTACAAAGGGGAAAGGAATCCTGACCCCAAAAGGCCACAGACCATATGTGGAGCCAGTCCATGGTGACTCTGTGGGCCCTTTTGCCCCACTTCCAAACACGGCAGGGAGAACCAGAGGAACTGACCCCGCCCCCCATATTCTGAGACACAGATGCCCTATTATACAGTGTTGAGATTGCTGGGGCTTCACTGCAGCTGTGGAGGCTGGGGCAAGATTTGTCCATGAGGAGATAATACAACTTACTGTTATACATATAATAGCATGCGTGCTAATTTATATACCATACATTGCTTGTTTTCATATGAATTTATCTCAATGAATGTAGTTTTGTGTATTTACTGAATTATCACGTTAAATAAAAACAACAAAATGGCTGGCTCCTCCCTACATTCTCCAGGTAGCATCACTTGTCAGGGCACAAAGGGACTGCCAGAGTAAAAGATATGAAGGGTCCATTATATGGGCACCTCAGACTGAAGCAATCTGAGAAGATACAGTGAGCAGCTACCACTCTTTTGCACCAACATCCATCAATCACATCTATTATTTATCTGGCATAATAGAAATTGTCACAGGATCAGCGTCACTCACTTTGCTTGCAAAATGTCTCATCCTTGCTGCATTCATTTTTGATGCACAGCTCAGCTTCACCTGGGCACTTCTGCAACACTAAATTATGACTGTTTCTTTGACATTATCTCTTAAATTAAATCGCTGTCGGCCACTGCACCAATCTCTTTGATTTTATCAAACTAACCAAATCCAAAACATGAAGAAAGCTGCCACGCTTAGATTAAGATCCAGATACAAAATAAAAGTAATCCAGAAGCTTTCACTGCATATTCTAACACATGTATCTACCAGGTCTGAGGTGCAAAGGGACAGATTTTTGAAGGCATTTAGGAATATAAAGACACAGAAAAGTCACGTATTGGGATTTTCAGAAACACAGGGGTGCCTATCTCTGACTGAAATCAATGGGAGTTAAGAACTTCTGAAAATCCCATTAGATGCTTCTGTATCTTCAGGTATCTAACTAGCTTTCAACTCTGTCCCTAAGAGCCTGCCACTCCCATCTCAAGTTGGGATGGGTTACAGGACATCAGCACATTCAGGTTTAATCTTCAGACTTGCATAGTGGCTTCACGCAGCAGATTTCATGGACATATCTTTTTGGAACGTTTCTATTAATTTTGAAATATGTTCAGAACTGTAACATTAATATTACAAAAACCACCATTTACACTGAAATTAAACTTTCATACTAAGTGAACCCCTGTGACAGTGAAATGAACAGAAGGAAGGCTCTATGACAGCTCACTTCCATGTGCTCAGCTGCCAGAGCTCACAATTTGCAGAGACTTGGGGTCACATTCTGACAGCAGTTAGGTTATATATCAAGTTATAGAGAGAGTCACTTCACTGAAATCAGTGGAGTTACTCCAGATGTAAAGTGGTGACTCAGAGGTCTGAGTTTGATTTTTCTCTTTCTAACTCAAAATATCTGTTTATGTTTTCTCACATCAAACCAATCCCATTAATATAAATGGATATGCCAGCTGTCTCGATGTGTGCTTTTTAAATAGGATTATATAAATAGAAAGGGGTACTTTTCCATGGTTCTTCAGACCCTTGTGGACTGCCTGGGATGCTTCACCAATATTAACGTAGGGTGGTCAGGAAGGCGCATGATGCCTGTGTCTTCAGGAACTCCAGCCTGTTCCAGAAGATTCACGCCAGCACTTTTTTCCCTGACTTCACCATCAAGGTCGGGGATGTGGACATGCCCGTGTGGATTGTGGATGACACAGCTTACTCCTTGCTCCCCTGGCTGATGAAGCCCTACATGGGACACCTGGACCCCACCAAGGAACGGGTCAACATCAGGCTCAGCAGGTGTCGCATGTTGGTGGAGGGCTCCTATGGCTGCCTCAAAGGGAGGTTCCAATGTCTACTCACCTGCCTGGACCTTGGCACCTGGAACATCCTCCAGGTTGTGGCAGCCTACTGTGTCCTCCACAACACATTTGAGAACAAGGGGCAGACTTTCTTACCAGGGTGGGGAGAAGAGGCCAAGCAACTCACAAGGACCTTTGAGCAGCCACATTCTGCTGCCATCTGCCAGGCCCATCAGGGGGCTGTGCGCATCTGGGAGGTCCTGAGGGAGAGTTTCATCCAAGGCCACTCTCCGCCAGGCTGCCCCATAAGGGGCCTCTACATTGCCCTTCTGTGCCTTTCCTCCCTCACATCTCCCTTCCCCTGCCCTCCCTTTCCACCTTCACCCCATCCTCTTTCCACCTTCCACCCCTACCCTACCCTACCCAACAGATAAAATAAACCAGACTTTTTGCTGTCAAACAATAAACTGATGTATATTTATTTGGGGAATATATATCTGGGGAGGGACTATAGAAAGAACCTGGAGGAGGATGGGGGGGAAGAATGGTTCAGGGATGGGGCTGGGACTGGTGCCTGCCTTGGGTGGTCCCACCGCCTTGTGTGCAGAGCCCTCAGTGGCCCTGGTGAGGGCTACGAGGAGAAGACAGGGGGCAGGGCCAGAGGTGGGTGCTGAGGGGAAGAGAGTCCTGAGGGGTGGCTGCAGGACTGCTCCAGGGTGGCAACCATGTGCTTGATGGCACTCGTATATGCTGTACACATTGTGTTCTGGTGCCGGGACAGTTGCTGCCAAATGTTGTACCACAGTTCCCAGTCAGCATGGCACTCCTGGCAGTCCTCCTCAAAAAGTTCCTGTTCATGGAATGGAGGTAGCCCAGGTGTTTCTGCTCCAGGTCATCGTGGGGTTGCCAGTGCCTGTGGCTCTCACAGGCTCAGGAGAATGATGTGGGAGATGGTAGACATGCCTCACACCTGACCTATCTGTGAAGAAAAGAGCAAAGGGCAGTCATCCCAGGAATCAGTGTGCACAAAGCCTAGCCCTTATCTGTGAGCTGACAAAAAAAGGTCTGGATTCAGACAACAGCAAAGTGCTTCGAGCAAAGCCATCTGTGGCCTACACAATGCGCACTGTCTTGCAGGGGTACACACGTTGAGGACAAGAAGGCATTGGAAGGTACCAGCCAGGCCAAGAGCCTGTGGGTGGGAGGCAAGAGAGAGGGCAACTCGGCTTCCCTCTTTGTCCTGGCACACGCCGAGTTTGGCACTCCCACAGGGAGAAGACTTTGACTCATGCCTGCTGGAGTGGGGGAGGAGGGTGATAGGGGAGGTGATAGGGGAGGTTTCTGGGAAGAATGGCACGTGGGTCCCCTCTGCTTCCTTCCCCGGTAGGTTCCCCTGCAAGGGATCAGCGTCCTCCACCTCGCCACACTTGACCAGGAGTGGATGCTGCCCAAGAGTGTGGGCATGAGCCTGTGCCATGTGCTGCACTGCTGTGTGTTGCCAGGACCCCAGCCTCCTTCGTGGTGGCTTATGGTGGGAAGGTGTCCCATCATGGAGTCCAGAGCAAGGCAGGCCTGTCCAGGAACTTTGCGAGAAGGAGCGCAAGGGTCCTGTGTGAGAGGCTCATGGAGCTGTCTGCTCTGGACTGGCGCTCCATGTGCACCCACATGTACAGGCTGCTGTGTGATCCCCAGGCCAAGGAGGACAAGTGAGGAGTGCACAGCCCCTTGCAGCTCACTGCCTCCCCCCATGTGTGTCTAGGGAAAATAATGGAACTCACCTGAAGTGCCTTCCTCGGCCTCGTCCAAGCCCTGGGAGACATCCAGGGCAGGGAGGAGGAAAGGCTCCAGGCTGAAGATAAGCTCCTGGCTGGCGCGCATGTTATCAGTGTTGGCCTCCTTCTCCTCGTGCTCCTACTTCTCCACAGCCTTGCCCTCATGGAGGCTGAGGACAGGCATGGCCAGGCCGGAGTCCATGACGGGGAAAGGAGGAAGGAGGTGACCTGTTCCCCTCCCGGGATGGCATCCAGCTGCTCAAAGTAGCAGCACATGTGAGGTACCCACCCCAGAGCAAGAACTTTCCTCCCTGGCCTTCATGTAGGCCTGCTGGAGTCCTTTGACCTTCTTCCGAATCTGATCGTGGGTCTGGTGGTGACCCTTCTGGGCCAGGCTGGCAGCCATTCGGCCATAGACTTTGGCATTGCACCTGTTGGTGTAGAGATCCTGGATATTGGTTTCCTCCCGCCAGACTTCAATGAGATCCAGGAGGGTGCCCCCCTCTTTTGCCCCTAGCCAGGGGCTTCAGAGGTGGCTGCCAGCTTGCTTACAGCCATAGGGAGCTTGGTGGGAACACTGGGTCTGCCATGACATCAGGGAAGGGAGTGCAGGGTTCTGCGGTGTGGCACAGCACTGGCAGGGCCAGTGTGGTGCCACAAGCCTTCTCCCTTCTACTTGCACCTTTAAAGATTACAAGGGAAGGAAAACTAGAGTTTTGATTGGTGTGGTCCAGTGTTCTCTCTAAGCTGCACTACAGCACAGCTTAACAGGTGATTAATCAGCCCCGCCCAGTCAGTCAGCTCCATGCAGGGAGCCCTGAGCCTCTGACTGGTCGGGACTGATTAATCACCTGTGAAGCTTTGCTGTTCCGCAGGTTAGAAGGAACACTGATGTGGACAGAGTGACTACCAAGGCACCTGTGAGAAGCCCTGGAGGCCAATTATTTCAAAATTAGCACAACTGCAGCATCCACACTCACCTTATTTCATAATAGCTATTTCAAAATAGGCGTTATTCCTCATAGAATGAGGGTTTATTATTTCTAAATAACAAGCCTGTTATTTCTAAATAATTTTGAAATACCGGGCTTGCTCTGTGGATGCTCACCTTGTTATTTTGAAATGACATGAATTATTTCTAAATACCGCTGTACTGTAGACATGCCTACAGAGTTTAAGACCAGACAGAACCTTTAGATCATTTAGTCTTATTTCCTGTATATCACAGACATTAAATTTCATCCCGTTATACTTGTACTGAGCCCAAGAACTGGTCAATTCACTTTGAAAGGAAGTGTGCCATGGTCTGGG